CTGTTTTTTATTTTAAAAGTTCTGTCTGAAACTTTTTGTTAGCTGGATGTTGTCTTGACCCTTCAGTTTTCATTCCTATAATTGATCTCTTCATCTTTGTACTTTACCTTCTGGAAGATTTTCTCAGCTTTCTCTTCCAGTGTTTATAATTTCTAGTCTCTTTATATTGTCCTCAAATTGTTCCTTTTTAAAGAGGTTTTCATAATACTGTCTATTCTTGTTTGGTATTTGCAGTCTATTCACCCGTCCCTCTGAGGATTTAATTACAAACTGGGTTCTCTGTCCTGAGCCAGCACTGCTTCCCCCTATTCTCTGTGCTTCCTTCAAGCTCCCTTTTTTCTATTTTGGGCCCTTCTGTCATGTCTGAGCCTGTCCCCAGTGCCTGGTGACCCTTTGTTGTGCGTTGGGATTTAAGATGGAGGCACCAGCTCATGGGCTGGAGCCCTGTGGGTGGGGGGCCTGCTGGCTGGTGTGCTACACAGTGGGGCAGACGAGCAGGGAGCTGGCTCAGGGATCATGGGCTGGTCCACCCTGGCGCTCTCCAGAGACAAAGCCCTCAGTGTCCAGTGTTCAGGGGAGGCGGCTGGAAGCAAGAAGGAGGCTAAGCGCGGGTGGCGGGGAGGGGCCTGCCATTGCCATTCAGTGTGCACGCATGGTTACTCAGTTACCCTCGTTTCCACTCTGAATTGCACCTCCTCCCCCACCTCCTCCCTACCTCCAACCTCCTTCCCCACCTGCCGGTGTTCTAGAGTCCTGAGCCCGTGCTGGGTTCCTTTCTGCAGAAAATACACCTGAAACGGGGGTGGGCACCTGGGAGTCTAACCACTTTGTTTATGAACTTGTTTCAGCCCACCCAGTTCAGCTCTAAACTTGCGCTTGCTCCCCCGCCCCTACCCCAGTGGTGTGTGGTGATTCTGGATCCTCAGCCTCTGCTCAGTATCAGCTCCCATGGGCCCCTTAGGTCACAACCCCTCCACTGGCTAAATCCCTTGCCTTCCGCGTTCCGCAGCGCCAGGCCTTTGTGCTGCCTCTCCCGTTTCGCCCTTCGTTGTGGAGGCTTCTGCACTCTCCATTTGATTGTTGGTTTAGAAGAATCCTGGCAGGAAGAGAGAGAAACCATGTGTACAGTCCGCCACTGCCTAGCCCCAGGGCCTTCCTGCTCCCCCCTGAGAGGCGGCTCCTACTCCCGGGGAAGAAATGCTAGGAGAGAGGTTGTGAGAATGTGTGAGTGTGAGTGTGCAAGAGCATGTGCGTGCGTGCACGTGTGCACATGTGTATGTGAGGCCCTGTAACAGACTCTGAAGGTTCTGCAGTCAGCAGACATTGAATTGTCTTGGGAACAAGGCAGCAAACACACAAGATAACCAAAAGAGTAGGTGGCCTCCGTGCTGAAATGGCTGTGTGCCTCAGAGTGGTGATTTTGAAGGGGATTCACTCAGCTCAATGGATTAAATCCTGGAAATTTCATTTGAAAAACTTCCCATGACCTTACTCGGGTAGCTGGCAGGGTATGTGGCTTTCACACTGCCCTGATTGCAGAGTGGACTCGTTCATTTATCCTTTCAACAAGGTTTGATGGAACCCATCCGTGTCAGGCATTGTGCTTGGCACAGGGGGTAAAATGGCAAGCAGAACAGGCACTGCCGTTGTCCTTGTGAAGCTTATAGTCCAGGCTGGGATAGCAGGGGGAGGGCAGATGTTCCTCGTACAACTGTATCATTTGTGTTTGGAAAGACCAGATTTGGTCCCAGAGATTGGCGCTGAGCCCCAGGACAACTGAGGACTTTTTGAACCCTGATGTGGCCTGACATCACTTTCAAGGCTTGGTTCGCCGGAGCGGATGCCCTCTTTTTTGGTTTAAAAACATTAGCACTGTCTTTGGAGTGCTCATGCACTAAGGCGGGCACTTCGCATGTTCGTGGTCTCCTGTGTCCCTGGCAGTGATGCCCGCAGGGAAAGGCAGCATGTCCACTTTGCAGAGGAGGACAGGACTGGTTTAAGCTATTGGGTCTCAAGTTCAGGTCCACCTCTGAATTCCATGCTGCTCTTGCTGCACGCAAAGCATTTGGTCCTCTACCCCACACCCCACCTCCCCACAGCTTCCTGATGCTGGGACCTGAGGCTGACTGCTGAGTTCGTAAGCTTCTGCAGTGCCACCAGGAGGGCGTGGGCACCGTCAGGTAGACCCTGCCTTGAGTCAGGTATGAGAGCTCCTCTTGGCACTGTGACTTCAGCCCATAGATAGATCATTTATCTTGCAGATCATTAGCTCTCCTGACTTGGGATGGGAAGAATTTAGGTTATTAGGCACCTTTATGTGACTGGGCTGGGGAGAAGCCTCTGGGTACATCTTGTTGCTGTAGGGAAGACAGGCCACAAATACCCTCCTTGTTCCACCAGGGCCACCTTCCCAGTGCTCTCAAGGAGCCAGGAACTCACATCTCACTCCTCATCCAGTACCTGGTCCTGTGGGTCCCTGAACCATCCAGACCTCCGGGATCGTTCCAGAGCCCTTCTCTGCCCAACACCGCCTTCCTTGGAGGTTAGGGGAGGTTCTCTCTCTCCCTCTCTCTCTCATTCTTCCCACCTTACCTCCCTGGGCCCCTCATTATACCTTTACACATTTCCACCTCATCGCAAATGAGTTGTGGCCCAGGTCAAAGCTGGGCCTTTGGTCATCCTTTTTTAATGCTTCGCAGACAAGGACTGGGGGACTCTAACTGCCCAAACGGTGAAGCGTGGGCTCAAACAGAGGGGCCCACACTGCCAGCTTCCCCCATTACATTTTCATTTCTCACTCCGAAAAAGGACAGCTCTAGCAGTGTGGTGGGTGGGGAGAACCATCACTGGCAAGTCCTGGAGACCTTTCTAGCCTTAGGTTAGAATGCACACCACCCCTCCGTGGCATTTCCAGATATCCAAACAAGCCCTTCTAGACTCCCTTGTCTCTTGGAAGGTTAAAGACACAGCTCCCTCTCTTCCAAGGCAGCTTGTGGCTCCACAGCCTTGGAGTGTCCTGCAGACAGTTTCTGGTTTTGAAGGTTTTTTAGAAAGTATGCATTTATTATAGAGAGACCGTGTAGGTCCCCTTATTCCCTTTGTTTAGCGCATCTTTTATTTTTACATTTTAGTGGTTCTGAAATTGGGATGCATCGTAAAACAGATGCATGTGTTTGGATGTGGTACTATGCCTTTTTTGTGTGAAGGGGTGTTCCCCAAGTGACTGCATCCTAGAATTGAGGAAATCCAGTAAAAAGTGCATTGGGAGACAAAAATCTTTCAAAACATGGAATCCATGCGAGAAAATGAGCATACAGGGTCCTTGGTATGTAGGAGCTGGGACCACTGCCTTAAATCTCATGTTTCCCTAGAAACTGTATGTGTGACCATTATGGGAAAAAGTGCTCACAAGGCCTGACCCCCATTCCATCCTGTTTCTATCTGTGGGGGTGACATACTTGGAGCAAATAGTTCCTAAAATTATCCCCATACCATTCCTCCTTCAGCTTTCAGGTCAAATATATTTGCATCTTTATCATAAGGGCCTTTCTTTTCCTGTTGTTACATTTGCTAATTTACAATTGTTTGGTTTGAAAAACAAGGATTTTTTTTTTTCTTTTGCCTCCTGGCCTTTTGGTTTTTCTGAGGCAGCCTCAGAAAGCGTGGCTGTGGTGGGCTCCAGGAATGTCCTGGGGAGCCTGAGCCCACTGGGCTGGGGTCCTGGCTCCCGCCTCTGCCTTGAGCGTGTGACAGGCAGAGGCCATCCATGTGCCGTGGGGCCCGCGTAGAGCCTGCAGTCAGTGTGCAGGATGGGGCTGAATCAGGGCAGTTTTGTGTGAAGAATGGAGGCACTTCCAGCAGTTTGTCAGGATGGGCAGGAGCTTGTCAGGTCAAGGACTGGATCCCAAAGTCTAAAGCTCAAAAGGACAACCCAGAAGGAGTCAGAAAGTGAACTGCTCAGAGACCTCCTGCAGAGTTTATCCCAAAACAGTCGCTGCTCCTCAGTCTTCCTGGATGCTCCCCTTTGCGGTGCTTGAAGGAAAGTGTGCAAGGTTGATTCATACTCTCACAGGGAGGCTGAGTCAGAAAGCAGACCAAGCCGTGACCAGCGATTCACAGAGCAGTCTGGAAAGAAACAGGAAGAAAGCACCACCTTCTTCTAGCCTTCTCCTCCTCCTCTCCATCTCCTTTGCACTCTCTCCCACAAAGCCTGGTCTTTCATGTCAATATCCCCCAGCCCAGCCCCAGTCTAGGTCACAAGGGCTTCGATATTCAGATCAAGTCTGGCTGGCGTCATTCTCAGACACTTCCTAGTAGAGAACTTCTACAGCTGCAGATGAGAAAATGACTTCTTATTGAGACTAGAAACAGGGAACCCAGTGAGTCTTGTTTTGTTTTTCTATATCCCGATCCAGTTTCTGACTTTGAACACCACTCTCAGGCTTGTACCGAGAGGACACAGGGTGGAGTGAAATGTCTCCACCCTCCCTCCCACCCAGCCCCGAGGAGAATCCCATTGACTGAAGCACCCAGCTGGCCCCAGGGCCCTAGAGCAGGAGGCTGTGTCACCCTCTCCACGGGCAGCGGGCAGCGCCCCCACAGGTGGCTCATCACACCCACTGGGCTCCTTTCTTCACCCTGCCCCATCCCCCCCACCGCCCCCGAGTAAGTGGTAATAGCCACTTAATATGCTGACTTAGCCAATCCCTTTTTGGTCCATTACGACAAAAGTTGCTCTTTTCTCATTAGAGCCATTTCTGTCAGGGTGTCTTTAATCAATGGCTTCCCCAGGGACAGTATTTTTAGAAGTTGTATTTTTCACACTCTCCCTTTTCCCCTTTTGGAAAATCTCATCCCAGTGCCTAGTGAAATGAACTAATGGGATGCCGGGAGATCCCAGGCTGGTGTTAATTGGAACAGGCACGAAAGAAGTGGCCCACGCACACCTTCGGTTCCTTCCTGCCTTACCTGCGATCCTTTTCTCTGTCTCTCCGGTGTAGGTTGCACAGACAGCAGATGGTGTGGATGCTGACCTCTGGAAAGACGGCTTATTTAAATCCAAGGTTACCAGATACCTGTGTTTCACAAGATCATTTTCCAAAGAAAATGTAAGTCTAGTTGTAGTTTCCATTTGCTGAGTGAGCACAAGTAATTTACACTCCTGTTTGGAATTTCCTCATTTTGTTGTTGTTGTGGTTTATTTTCATTGCCATATTAATTTATCTGTGGTTTTAGTGAACTGGGTAGAATCGGCAGCCAGCACTGTGTTTCATTTATTAACAGTATTATTAACCACGTACCCAAGTGTACCGTGAATTCCATTCAATTGTGTTCTCAAAAGGAAACCAGGAAATTTCTCTCCCAGCTCTCATTTGCCTACCTTTCCTCCAAGCAACAAATCACAGGATAGTGCGGCAGTGAGAATTCTCCGGTGGAGCGGGATTTAATGCTGGCCAGCAAAGGCAGCCTGGCTCAGGGAGGGTCCCTGTGACCCCACCCCATCCACAGACATCATGCCTTTGCTTCCACAGTGACGTTTCCTCTCTGAGTCTCTGTGTGACATATTGCATTTCATTATTTTTGTAGGTAAGTATCCACTCATGCAGATTTCTCTTACTATGGTTTTTTTTTTTTTTTTTAAAGTACTCGCACCTGTAAATTAGGAAACTTTAAAGACACCTACTAAGGTTTGTTTTTTTTTTGTTTTTTTTTTTTTAAACATCTAATAAGGTATTTTAATAGATGGCTTAGAAAAAAAGGAAATAGTTTTGGTGAGTATCTACTCTGTACAAGGCCTGCCCTGGGCACCTCATTCTGTCCCCAGATAATCTCTACAAGTGGAAGTTCCTTTCAATTGAAGAAACCAAGATCCAAGAGGTGACGTGCTTGTTCGAGGTTACTTCTCTTCCCCAGCCCCAAATAGGGAGGAGTTGGGATTTCATTTTCAGGGCTAACATTTTATTTTTGGCCACATGTTATTGTCTCTTTGTCATGTAAATTTTATTTTGGGGAATATTTTTATTGATTTATATATATAAATTATATTATAAAAGTAATATTTATTTGCAGTTAAAAAAAAAACTGAACCCAGACAACAAACGTACTCATTCAACAGCATGAAAGGGGGAAAGCGTTAGTCCTCCTCTCTGCCACCTGGCCCCGCAGGCCCGGGGTCCCATCACAGGGTCCTTGCATGTTCCCTTGGTGTTTTCTGAATGTCGGCCATCATGTGGCTCTCCGGCTTGTACTCTTTTCTGCCACCTATTCCTGTTGTTTGTGGTTAATTCTTGGGTAGGAGAATTATTCTGAACAGGACTGGGAGAAAAGTCGTTGCTTTATTTTTTTCCCCTAATCACAAGAGCAATATATGCTCATCGTAAAGTACAGAGTTTATAATGGAGAAGGGGAAGATCTTGACACAAAAGTCTGGAAGTCTTTTCAGTTCAGGCTTTTGAGTGTATTTTAAATACCAGGAAGGTGGCAGGGCTAAAGAACGGACAAGGGCACTATGAGCTTATAATGAGTCCCTGCAGGTCCCCCAGCTCACTGAGCAGCCTGAGGCACCCAGGAGAGGACTGAAGGCTGAGTAGAAGCTTCAGTTAAAAATGAGTAGAGGCCGAAGAGGCTTCAGTTAAAACTGGCCTGAGGACAGCCATGATCTCTGTGATCATTTTTTGTTTTTGTTTTCATTGCATGAAATCAAAAACACTACGGGGTGTTGGTACCTAGGCTAGCAGAGTCCCTGCATCCCTTGGAGTGGGGACAGTGACAGGTCTGAATGTGACAAAGAGAAGTCACTGGGGCTTGTTAGCATTGAGTGTCATGGGTAAGTGTATTAAGGAAAACCCATTGATTTTGTCAACATGTGTTGAACATTAAAAAGATTTTTCTTGGGTGTGATGAAGGGATATAAGAAGAGGACAAGGGCAGTGTGAAAAGCCTCTATCTCGCTTTCGAAGCAGTATAGGAGATAGGTGCATGGTGCATACTGTTTTTGGAAAAAGAATGAATGGATCCAATAGTGGGATCCAAACGATCGAGTTCCAGCAGTTGGCAGGGGCTCACCTGCCAGCTCAGGAGTGGAGGAGGAATCGGAATATTTTAATCTGTTACAGCCAGTCTATGCTGGCGCTGTAGTCCAAACCAAGACTTTGCAGAGCATCATTTTTTACAGCTGTAAAGGAGGGATGTGGGATCTCAAGACTGGACAGATTCTTAATTAGGTGACTTGAGACTCCCAAGGTAGGAGTTTTGGGAGACTCCTTTGGAACCTAAATTCCTTTCCCCCAATAATGCTATTAATACAGAAACCTGGCTTTGGAGTGACATTGCTTCCTGGGGAAGGATCGAGATTAATTGCACTTTTCATGCCCTGTACTTTCTGCATTACCTGTAATAATAATGTACATAGATTAGGTAGGGAGGATATTAAACAGAAGGATTTATGAACATTTGAATATTAAGTTGGTTATCTGTGGCTACCTTAAATGCAAGGTTGTCAAAAATAATTACAGTATACTAGCAAATACTGGCTACCAGAGACAATATAAATACCCTGAGTCAGTGCATATTGGGCTTTTGGCATGAATCATTTGCTCAACAAGGATTGGGAATACGTTCTTCATATTTATGAGGAGGAAATGAAAGAGAGCACAGATGGGGGAGGGGAGAGGAACAGGCAAAATTAATGGTGTCGCAGACCCACTGTATTAAACCCAGTACAGTGGCAGCCCCGTGTAAGGAGCGACCACACTTGGGCTGTGGGGAGCTCTGACAGTGCAGCCTCCCATTTTGTATGCATGCAAGGTTTTTTTATGCTTTGTTTTTAATGGCCACACCACTGATGTTCAGGTTTTATGATCAGGGACATTTGTAGAGTGTGTGGAGGGTGAGGTCACTAAGTGGTTTGCAGTTGACTTCTGTAAAACCCAACTTGTCAAGTAGAAGACATTTGAGAAGGATATTGATGAATGCCCATCCATCTGCGGGGCAGGAAAACATGCCTAGTTGTTAATTTCTCAATGCAGAAAGCAGTGATGACATGGAAAAGCAACTGCCATGAAAAAAAATTATGATAGATTAGACCAGGCGATTCTGAAAGCAGCTGATGTTTGCAAGTTAGGTTAACAGTTCAAACCCTTCCTACACGGTCAGAGATTTATTCTGTGTTCTGAGGGTCCCACTTACCACTCCCTAGCCTGCACTGTACATTGCCTTCCCGAGGCCCAGCTACCTGGAATATCAGAATATCAAATTGTTGGCAAATGTGATAGTTCTGAGAGGAAGAAACGATTTCCTGATGACTGTGCCATAAAAACACTAGTCATAGGTTACACTTGCTACTTTGACCTTCCTATTTAAATTCTAATAATTTGTTTCATTTGTGTACTTTTGGTTCATAATATTTATTAGTGTATATCAATACTTTTGATATTTTTAATCATATAGTTTAGATTTGACATCTCAGCAAACCCAACTTGATATATGTGTGTGTGTGTGTGTGTATCTATATACACACACACACACACACATATGAAACGAAGTCTCCCTGTCAGCCAGACTGGAGTGCAATGGCACAATCTCAGTTCACTGCAGCCTCCATCTCCTGGGTTCAAGTAATTCTCCTACCTCAGCCTCCCAAGTAACTGGGACTATAGGCACCTACCACCACACCCAGCTAATTTTTGTATTTTTTAAAGTAGAGACAGGGTTTCACCATGTTGCTCAGGCTGGTATCAAACTTCTGACTTCAAATGATCCACCTGCCTCGGCTTCCCAAAGTGCTAGGATTACAGGCATGAGCCACCATGCCTGGCCGATTTTTTTTTTTGTTTGTTTTGTTTTTGAGACAGTGTCTCACTCTATTGCCCAGGCTGAAGTACAGTGACATGATCTTGGCTCACTGCAGCCTCAACCTCCCAGGCTCCAACAATCCTCCTACTTCAGTTTCCTAAGTAGCTGGGACAACATGCATGAGTGCCACCACACCCAGTCAATTTTTTTAATTTGTAGAGATGGGGTTTCGCCATGTTTCCCAGGCTTGTCTCAAACTCTTGAACTCAAGCTACCCGCCCACTTTGGCCTCCCAAAGTGTTGGGATTACAGGCGTGAGCAACAGCACCCGGACTCCAGTTTGATTTCTGACTCTGGCCTGGTTGAAAAATGTGTACCCGAAATTAATTTATTCAGCAAGTAATTACTGAGCACCTGTTGTGTGGCAAAATCCATGCTAGGCTTGTATTTATAGTAGGAACAGAGATAGTTTTGGTCTTCATGGTTCTTAAACTCTAGAAGCAAGACAGATATTAAGAAAATAACCCCACAAATTGATAGGGAGGGAAAAAGAGAGTGCCAAGAGGGAACATACACAGTTTAGATGATAAGAACTCCCTGCTTGGCTTTCGGAGACATGGCACAGTGCAGGTGGAGGTGGGATCTTGGCTCCCATGTGCAGAGATGGAGGTAGCAGCCCTTCTTCTCTAAGCAAGATGGAACAACAGCCTCAGAAGTTGCTGTCCAGGGCAGAGTGATGGCTGACCAACTAGATGCTTGTCCAAGGATGCTGAACAAGTAAACGGAGAGCATGCTCACACTGGGCTTTGGGGATGAGGCACTTCTGCAAAATGGGCACGTGGAGTGCATTGCTAGTATCCTAACAGGAGAGATTTGGGATTTGAGCCCATCATTCTTTCCTTAACTGGCTCTGACTAGAGAGGGGGAACCAAGCTGCAAATTACTCTGAAGATTTTAATGAAATCTCCAAAGTGCCCCCACATATTTAAGTTGTAGGGTAGATATCTTTAGAGCTCATTTCCAGCTTGAAATGCGCGCTGCAAGTGCCGGCGTGTTTGCAAAGAATTCTCTCTCGCAATTACAGAATGTGTACCGTCTTCGAAAGATATTTGTACACCAGTTACAGAAACTGCGCACTGTGGACCCCATATACTACCACTAAATAGAAACTTTAGGAGGCCCTTGTGCATGTCATTTTAGAAGATGTGTAATATTGAGGCAGCAGGACTTTCACTCTGTGTTAGTTTATGATTCTTGGGATTTTGTAAAATGTATCTAGCAACTGAAATGTGTGTCAGTATGCAGACTGGTGATCATTTAGGAGTGTGATTGGTTCCCTATTAGGTTTAGATGCATCTCTGTCCTACGAGTGCCTCAGGAATTTGCTCTTCCTAAAACCTCCTGGCCTTGAGATCTGATGCTCAGGGCTGAGTGGCAGCCTGGTCCCGGGACGTGTGTGCACAGCTGCCCTCTGCTGGGTTATGTCTAAAGCATCTCCTGGGTTGCTCCTGCCTCACCAAGGCTGTGTCTGAGTGAGTGGCTTTGAGGTTCTGCAGATAAAACTCCTTCCCGGGGGCCACACGAGTCCCTGTGTAACCACTGGGGAACATTAAGTGTCACCTACTCTAATTAACCTGCTGTCATAAAGCTGCACGAGTCATTGTGTTAAATATGCATCTTGAAGCCAAAATGGCAAAGCCACCACAGGCATGTTCAGATTAATAGTCTGTATCTCTTTTCTTTCTTCCCAAGAGTCATCTGGGGAACGTGTTAGTAGATATGAAGCTCATTGACATCAAGGACACACTGCCTGTGGGCTTCATCCCAATTCAGGAGACAGTGGACACACGTGAGTCATCCTTTAGTAGCACTCATCACAATGAGGGTTTTCTTCCTCCAGATATATTTCTAGGTGTTTTTTTATGTGCATTTTTCTTCAGAAACATTTTTGGAGGTCTTACTGCATGCCCATGAACAAACCCTGCTGCTTTTGATGTGTGTCTGGCTGGGTTCTCCAAGGAGTTTGCAGAGCATTCTGGGTAGCGGCATGTAAATGAGCAGAACGTCCCTTTCTTTTAGAATGGTGCTCCCTGCTGAATGGACTCACTGGGGAACGGAATGGTGAAACTGGATATAGTTTCTCTTTAGTCCTTCCTCTGGTGTTGCTGAAGCCAAGCTTGGCACAAGACCCAGAAGGAAGCAGAAAGAAAACAATCAAAAGACGCCCAGAGAACACAAAGCCAATAATGTGCCCATTTGGGCCCCATAGAGCAAACAAGAAAAGTGAGAATCAAAAAGACTGCAAATTAAAATTCATAGGTTCAGATTGGACTGAATATTCTGACCACTGAGCAGGTCCAAGCAGAAGTGAATCACTGAGGAATCGGCAGCGTCTTCAGGGTGCTGGAGCCCTTGGAGCTTCTTGACCCACACATGAGTTATTAAATGGTGCTGGAAAACCTCTGGCAATTCGGCTTCCTTGTTTTGGTGTAATTTAACTTACCTTGTTTCATTTTTAATCACTGGTCAGCCAACTTTATGATATCTACAACAGTGAAGTAGTGAATACAAAACAAATACAGAGAATCCTTTCATTATGACTCAGGGTGTGTTTATTAAATTCTCTGTCTCATTTTCTCTCTCATACTTTATTCTCTCATAATTAGCCCACGTTGGTCCCACTATTTTTTGCTGTTTTCTTGCTAGCACTTCATATGATATGAACTAGAGTTTCTGTCTCTACACAGATCCCACCTAACTGTTATTTTCATGAAACCAGCAGACCCCATTGTATAGCATATTTTTATTTTCGTGATGGTCTCTTTACGTTTAGACATTGGATTGCTTTTTGTCATTTATGATTTTATGTATTACCTGATAATCATAAGAGCTGATACTTAGTGTGCATTTACTATGTGCTCACCCCTGTGATAAATGCTTTACCTCCCTGATTTCATTTCATCTTCAGAAGACCCCTCTTATGAGACGGGCATTATTATACCCATTTCAGATATGAGAAAAGTGAAGCACACTCACTCCTTAGGGATTAAAGAACTTAGCCAAGGTCACGCGTCTGGAACTGGAGGAATAACTAGAATGCTCACATACGTCTTACTCCAGCTACACTTTTTTTTTTTTTTTTGAGATGGAGTCTCGCTCTGCCGCCCAGGCTGGAGTACAGTGGCCGGATCTCAGCTCACTGCAAGCTCCGCCTCCTGGGTTTATGCCATTCTCCTGCCTCAGCCTCCCGAGTAGCTGGGACTACAGGTGCCTGCCACGTCGCCCGGCTAGTTTTTTGTATTTTTTAGTAGAGACGGGGTTTCACTGTGTTAGTCAGGATGGTCTCGATCTCCTGACCTCATGATCCGCCCGTCTCAGCCTCCCAAAGTGCTGGGATTACAGGCTTGAGCCACCGCGCCCGGCCTCCAGCTACACTTTTAACCACAGCACCACACTGGAAGAGCCTGTGTATAAGCACATTTTACAGATATTATATTAATGTATAGGGTTTTTAAAAATTAAGATATAACTCACTTACCATGCAATTCATCCATTGAACATGCACAGTTCAGTGACCTTTAGTAAAGGCAGAGTTGTGCAACCATTGTTGCACATTATATCACCCCCAAAACCCATTGTCAGGACAGCACCCCTGTACCCCTCAGCAATCACTCCCTTATTTCTCTCCAACCCTCACCTCCCCACTCCCTACCAGCCCTAGACAACCACTAATCTACTTTCTATATAGATTTGCCTATTCTGGGCATTTCATATGAATGGAATCATACAGTGTGTGGTCTTTTGTGACCAGCTTCTCTCTCTTAGCATAATGTTTTCAAGGTTGGCCCATGTTGCAGGATAGATCATTACTTCATTCCTTCTTATCGCCAAATAATATAACATATGGATATACCACATTTTGGTTATCCATTCAACTGATGGATATCTGGGTTGTTCGTACTTTTTGGCTGTTAGGAATGAGGCTGCTATGAACATTCGTGTACAAGTTTTCGTGTGGGCTTATGTTTTCGTTTCTGTTGGGTATCTACCTAGTCATGGAATTGCTGGGTCACACGGTAACTTGATATTTTTGAGGAACTACCAAATGGTATTTCAAAGGAGCTGCACCGTTTTTCTTCCCACCGGCAGTGTCCGTAGATTCCAGTTCCTCCACATCTTCACCAGCACTTTGTTATTGTCTGTCTTTTTGATTCTAGGCCCCTTAGTGGGTATGAAATGGAATCTCCTTGTGCTTTCCGTTTGCCCTTGTCTGATGGCAAATGACGTTGAGCGTCTTTTTATGTGCTTGTTGGCCATTTGCGTTATCTCCTCTGCTTAGGATCTACAGTCTTCTCAAAGACTTAGATCACTTTCCTCCTTTTCCCCTGTGTTTTTCACAGTTTTAAAATTTGCACTGGTGTTCGTTCTTTGACAGTGAGTTGACTTCGAATGTCTTTATATTGATGTGCCGTGGAGCCGCAACGGGTTTTCCATTCTGCATTTTCCTCTTGGTTAGTTGGACCAGTTCACTGAGGCTCTGTCCTGTCTGGACTTGGGGACCAGCGGCTCTGGGGCCCAGGGGTCTTGGTTGGGAAGTTTCTCCCCTGTGACTGGGAGTGCACAGGTTGCTGCCCCAAGTGTGGACTCTGCGATCGGTCCTGGGCCCAATGCCAGGGGCCTTGTCACACAGGAGGGTGAGCAGCAGGGAGCCTCTTCATGTCCGGTTCTAGCAACATTTCCTGGAGGCTTTACCTGGGGGACAGAGGAGCCCAAGCTGACCATATAAGCCTTACAGTCAGCTCTGTATCATTGGAGAGTATTTAAGGCCCTGATTTTATAAAGTCAGCCAAAAACAGGAGACTCCTGTAATTCATTTAAAATATAGTTTGCTGTAATCCATATAGCACTGAAAAACTGGAAGACTGTTTGTTTTAGTAAAGTACTGTGTACTTTCTCTGTGTTCATTAGCATGACTGAACACATTTATATTGACTATGTATAATATGTTTACTTAAAATTAGGCCTGCTTAAGCATGTGTAATTAGTGGCTCCATCTCTTACCCCGAGTTTGCTGCAGACAGAGGAATGGAGCCAAGAGCAGTGTGGCAACAGCAAGTGAAACACCCGGCGTTAGTTTTCTTTGTGTAAAGGTCTCATCTTCTTCACGCCTTCTAAGGCCAATCTGATCAGCTGATAATCTTTGAAGGTGCAGAGTTGCTGTGAACAGCGCCCCCCATTCCCCAGGTTGCCGTCCCAAGTGTGGACTCTGAGGTTGGGTCTTGTCACACAGGAGGGTGGGCAGCAGGGGCCTCTTCATTTCCAGTACTAGGCTCATTTCCTAGATGTTTAGCAATGTTTAGGGTCTGGATTCAGAACGTTGTTTCTCTCCGCTGGTAGATCTGCTCTAGCCCTCAGTTTCTGTGCCTGAGGAACGCACAAAGTTATCTGACTCTTCAAAAAACGACCCTACCCCCCTAAAAATATAATAACAAAAACAATTCCACTGATTTTCTTGTCCCCCTCCCCACTCCTGGCCCCTATAAGAACCCCCGGGCAGGGCTGTACTTCCCCTCATTCTGTTCCTCGATTTGAATGTGCTGTTGAATGTCTTACTTCCTGCCACAGAATTGCAAGGTCTTGAAACCCAATACCAAGTACGGGCATAAATTACACGCTAGAGGCTTACTTGCCAATAATGACAGTAAGATCCCACACAGCTGTTCTTTACTGAGCACTTACTGTGTGCCAGGCACTGGGCTAGGTGGATCATGCGTGTTGGCACAGTGCATCCAACCCACATCCCTGCGGGGTGGGTTTCATTAACGCCCTTTTACAATTTACCAAGACTCAGAGAAATTAAGTAACTTGCCTAAGGTCACAGTGCCAGAAAATGTTGGTGTTGGGATTTCAACCCAGGTCTGTCTAACTCGTGTATTAAATGGCTGCAGTTAGTTGAAACTCAGGCTTAAAAGCACAAACACACACACACCTCCCGTTGGTCAGCACTGGAGGTTGCTCAAGCACCAACTCCTTACTCTAAGGCTTGATAAGTAAGAGAAAAGAATCATGTGCTTATCCTTTTTTTTTCCTATACAAAATTTATTTCAGGGAGACCAAATAGTTGATGAAGGAAAGTTATTTTTTATATATAGAAGGATTCTAGCTAAAAAATGCAGAAGGAGGCTGGGCGCGGTGACTCACGCCTGTAATCCCAGCACTTTGGGAGGCCAAGGTGGGTGGATCATGAGGTCAGGAGTTTGAGACCAGCCTGACCAACATGGTGAAACCCCATCTCTACTAAAAATACAAAAATGAGCCAGGCATGGTGGCACGCATCTGTAATCCCAGCTACTCAGGAGGCCAAGGCAGGAGAATCACTCAAACCCGGCAGGTGGAGGTTGCAGTGAGCCAAGATCATGCCACTGCTCTCCAGCTTGGGTGACAGAATAAGACTCCATCTCAAAAAAAAAATAAAAGAAAAAAAGCAGAAGGAATGACAGAGTTCAAAAATCACCATTGTGAACCTTTAATAAAGCATGGATCTTAGCAACAGTCGTCAGAGGGTGACAAAGTACTCAGAGGATGGCAGTTGGGGAACTGTATGACCGAGGGCCCAGGCCGACACCAGTAGAGCTCAACAAGAATGGCCCAGCCAGACTCCGGGCCTCACCATATGACAGCCTAGACTTACACGTGCCCCCGGACAGCGCGTGCATGTAAAAAACCTAACCTGAGTCTAATCAAGGCTTTAGCTCTGTCAGTCTACAGGAGGCACAGGGGAATGACCCGATTTCTCCAACCTGTCAGTGCCCTGAAGAAAAGGGAGCAGGAGTGGTTGCTCCAGAGTCAAATGGTCTGGGAGGCCTGACACCCAAAGGCAGTGCCTCAGCATCCCGGGGATCCGGATGCAGACAGACTGGAGAAGACGTGAATGTAGACTCTCTATTGGATGATACTCAGGAATTCTGTTCATTTTGTTAGGAATGGTGATGGCATGGTGGTCTTTAAAGAACAGTAACCTAGATGCCTACTGAGGTATTGGTGGCGACATGACGTGGTGTCGTCAGGGATTCATTTTAAATATCCAGCAAAGTTGCAGGGGTGGGAGGAGAGGAAACCAGCTTGTCCGTTGTGCACAGCATTGACACTGGGTGACGGGAACACGTGGATTCATTCCGCTGTTCTCTCTGCTTTGGGGTATGTTTGAAGATTTCTATGATAAAAAGCAGAAAAGAAAAGAAGTCCATGTGGTGAAATGTGTTAATGCTCAGGGCATCAGCGTGCAGGTTTCTGGTGGCTGAGCAGTGAGCAGATTGTGGTTGCGGCTCTTAGAAGCCACCCGGATTTACTGCAGGGTGTGTGGTCCCCTTCTCAGCAGGGGGTGTCTGGGTTGAGTCCTGCATGCAGAGCAGGGTGACTGCAGCCCCAGGGAAGGCAGGCGGCAGAGCCCAGCCCTTCTGTCTAGCAGCTTAGGTGACCTGCCACTTCTGCTGCCAGGAACAGGGTGTGGCGAGGGATGTGGTTTTCAGAATAGAGATGGTGGTATCTCTGGAAAACTCATACCTTTTCTGTTGTCCTTTCCTTCAGAGGAAGTGGCTTTTAGGAAGAAGAGGCTGTGCATTAAATTTATTCCACGGGATTCAACGGAAGCTGCAATTTGTGACATTCGGATCATGGGCCGGACCAAGCAGGCCCCACCTCAGTACACGTTTATCGGGTGAGTCTTAATGACAGGACTCAGCTGCTACTCTTTCATGAGCGCACTCAGGCCGCTCCAGGCAATGAGGCCCCAGAGATTTCCATGTGGCCCCCAGGCTCTCAGCCATGGGCCTCTGTCAGCCCAGTGCTCCTCACTGCCCTTCCTGCTCAGCTGCGGCCTCTCTGCGCCTGGGCTCGCACTGCTGACTCTACCTTAGGGCCTTTCCTCCCCTGCCCTTCTGCGCATTCAGCCTTGAAGCTCCTCTGGGTCCTTCCCCGACACCCTGTGATGCCACCAGCCTCAGCTCTCCACACTCGTTATTCCCCCTATAGGAAAGGTCACAGGGACCTATTTTGTACCGTGGGGCCAAGGTCACTGGATGTGGTCATGAGTGAGGCAAAGGCCCTGCTGTCACAGAGCTGATGTTCGAAAAGGGACAGACGAGCAATAAACGAGAAAATAAATGAGATAATTCCAGAGAGTGAAGACAGTGGAACACAATGATGGAGTGGGGGCCTCTTCCGTGAGGGGGTCAGGAAGGTGACACTTGAGCCTGAATGTCAGAAAACCAGCCATGCACAGATGTGAAGGCAGGGCCTTCGAGGCAGAGCAGAAGCAGAAGGAGAGAAGTGGGAATGAGCATGGTACGTTCTGGGAGCAGAACGCAGCCCCATACAGCTGGAAGAGCCAGGGAGAGTATTGGGACAAGGGCGAGGGTTGGCAGGACCTCCTAGGACATGGCCTGGAGTTTATTCCAAGCACACTGGAAAGCCAGTGGAGGGCTCCAAATCAGGAAGAAACATAAATATTACACAGCTCCATGATAATTCCCCAGTAAGCAGAGAACTGCTGAGGCCTGGGCCCATTTGTGTCTTGTTTCTCCAGTAGCCTCAGCCCTGAGCATGGGGCTGGCTCTGTTGCGGCTCCATAAATACTTAGTTCAGTGAAATCCCAGGGTTTCACTTAGGGCTCTGTTGATTGTAAGTGACCGGAAACCCAACCCACTTTGGCTTGAGCAAAAGAAAGAATTTGTTGGCTGGCATCACAGAAGAGTTGGGGAAGCAGGACCGGCACGCCTGGAAGCGGAAGCTTGAAAGCCGGCACTGGGTTCTGGTTTCCCTGTCTCCCTCTGGCTGTGGTGCTGGGCTCTGTTCTGACATGTTTCCCCCTCGAGGAGGCCTGGTGCTGCAGTAGCTCCACCTGCTTTTTCATCCAGGTTCAAGTCCAGAGGCCAAGAGCAAGTCTGTGTTCCCGCTAGTTCAAAAGAAGTTCTAGAATTTAGTCTCATTGGTCTTGATTGATCTAGGTAGGGTCATGTGCACCCTGGGCTGGTCACGGTTTTCTGGAAAATTCTTCCATTGACCAGGCCTGAGCAGGAAGTAGGATTAGCTCCATGGGAACTCAAGGACTAACCATGACTGGTGCTGCCCCTACAATACAGAGGGGAAGTCAAAAGTCAGAAAGGGGGTTAGTGGATGCCAGCTGTCTGGAAGGAAATAGATGTTCACTGTCCTCGGTCAACTGAAATCCAGGTGTGCCGGTTACTTGGTGTGGCAGATGGTTTACAGCCCCCTCAGCCATGTGCGTCTTCCCTGGCCAGGCCTGGGAGGTGCCATGTGTCTCCCTGTGGGCTCCCAGAAACACTCTCTCCTCCTCAGCTTCTGAGGCCAGCCTCCTGGCTCAGGCCTGTACTCTGCTTTACTCTTGTTCATTTGAGCCCAGAGCTGCCTTTTTATCAGCCAGGGCCTTTCCTGATAGCCTAGACCCGGTGAGAGCAGCAGATGAGCCCTTGTGGCATTTGCTTGAAGCATGCAGGGAGCAGGTACCACGGAAATGCAGAGTTTCACCTCTGGGGGCTTCGGCTCTGGCATCGGAATGCTCTGTGTCAAGATCATGTGGTTAAGAAGGACTCTGTGATCATTCCCTTCCTACACACTCAAAAATCCTGTTTTGCAACATGGCTTACACTAATTATGTAAACAGGACTACAGGAGTAGGAAATAGTTAGAATAAACATACTTCAGGCACCTCAGAAGCACCCATTTACATACAAATGGCAGAAACCAGCAATTTCGTAATGAACTTTTAAATCTAATTTCAGTCGCTATCTTTAATTATAAACTATCCTGTTGTAAAAAGATTCCATTTTTAACCAATTTAACCAATTTTAAGGAAAAGATATTTACCAGTATGTACCTTGATAAAACCAAAGCCTTTTTTCCTTTATATCACTTTGGAAATATGGCTATAGTTTTATTTCATCTTGGGGCAACAGTTCTCTTCCAGAGGAAGACAATTCCAGTGTTATTTTTAAGCAAAGAAACAGAATTCAGTATTCAGAACTCTAAGCCACTTATTCTTAAAAGTGGGCACAGTTCTACGTGTTACTTTGCAAGGGTTTGGGATTGTCAGTTGGGGAAGATAGAAACCTCACATTCCAAACAGCACCTCGAAAGCCTGGCAGCTAGAGGCCATGGCCCAGATGTGGAGAAATCAGTGCAGCTCACTGGAATCACTCATCTAAGAGGACAGGATTGTGGTTTTACATGGTTCCTGTGGTGTCCTGAGAAGCTTATTAGGGCTTCCCACAGAATAAGTCTTTTTCCATTTTTTTGAAGAGATTATATTCCTCTACATCAGGTCCCAAAGATGCAGTTCTGTGGGGCAACTGGGAAATTGGAAACTGAATATGGTGAACATGATCCCATCACTATTCCTAGGAGCGTGGCTGTCTCCTCAGCACTCGCGAGTGCGTGGTGTAGTAGGGGTCAGGGCTGTGGTAACTGTGTGAGGGAAGTCACAGGAGAGCTTGTGCGGTGTCTGGGAGGCCCCTTGGTGTCCACTCCTACTTGTGTGGTTTGTGGGGCGAGTTTTGCAGTTTGAAGATGATTCCCAAACTGACCCTGAGAATGAGGCCGATGGCAGGTGACACACAGCTGGAAGAGGCTGTATCCTGAGATTGGGGTGTGTTATAGAGTAGGGGGCTAATTCATCTCATGGTTAAAAACCAGCATCTCCCTATCTGTCTCTCCTAACTGCACAAAGGACTTGATGTGGATTATCATGTCATACTCTACAAGGAAATGGCAAAACAGAAAGAAGTTTGGAGAAGCAAGGAAAGTACCAGTTGGAGTAGGAAGGCAAGCTCGGGGAGGGTGACACAGGCGGCCTTGTCCTGAAGGCCTGCCTAGATGGAACGGGTCACCCTCATGTGAACTGTGATGCCCAGAGCACAAAGGAGGTGATGGAACCCATTTCATGTGGGCGGTGAGAATTGATTCCCCGGCGTTTGAGGCCATGACTCTTTTAAGTTAGTTGGTTTGCTTTGTCACTCAGGTAAATGCTTTGTGCTAATCAGAGCCATGAAGATTTCTCTTTTTTCCTAAAGGGAACTGAACAGCATGGGGATCTGGTATCGAATGGGCAGAGTACCAAGAAATCATGACTCATCTCAACCCACAACGCCTTCCCAGTCATCAGCTGCTTCCACCCCAGCCCCCAACCTTCCCAGGTGAGGCCTCGTTGGGGTGTCTTGTGTTGTCCTGTGGTCTTGGGTCCCTGCATAACATTTTAGAACACCACCAAGTGTCTGCTGAAATAGTGCAGAGGACAGCTGAACAACTGTAGAAGCAATATATCTTTAGAGGAGATTTTTAAAAATCCACTTGGAAATCTTTGCATTACGTGAATGCAAAGGCCATTCTATAGTCCATTTTGTACGTGTTCCGCAGGCTCCTAAAACTGCACATTATGCAACTTAAAATTGGCTTGCTATTCAAAAGAACTGCTAGCTACACACAGACATGTGTTGTGTAGCCATGGAGTTGGGGTCACTGGCCTTAAGGTCAAATTCCTTCTCTATCTTGGCCAGCAACTCATTTGCAACCCAGAAGGGTAGGTGAGTTCTTATATTCTTCATTTTCATATAATTTCTTTTTCTAATGATCTATAAACTAAGAAATGGGTAATTTGGGTATGAGAGAATAGTGAGGAGTTTTTCAGGAAATGCTAGTTTTAATCATTGTCTCCACAAAGAAACTTGGGTGAGCCAACTGTTTGCTCTGCAACTGATTTCAATTATAATAGAGGTAGTAACAGTCTCTACACTTTCTGCAAAAATAATCCTGTCAAATAAAAATCCTGTGCATCACTAGGAGTAAACTGAGGGCAAGGAACAAACAGCACTGATGGATTAAGCTTGAGAAAGGGACTGCAAAAGTAAAATAAAACAAGAACGGTGAGGCAGCAACACTTAGGGATTGACGTAACGGAAATGAGAATGGATCTCGAAGCTTCCACGTGGGTGAATAGAGATGAACAAAATCTGTCAGGAACCGGACAGAAGAGTCACCGGTGGGTCTTCCTGGGCCCTCCACAATACAGCCTGCCCTCCGGGACATGCCACCAGCTCTCTGTACTCTGTTCCTCTGTGCCAAGCCTCCGCCTCACTCGGAAGAATGCGCTGTAATGAGGCCCCGAAGCCCTGAGGACTCTGTCCTCTAGGACATCCCCCTATAAAGACAATCTGGTCTTTCTTGTGACAGTTTCATAAACCAAGAGTAGTATTTAAACTTAACTACCCCTAGAATTGCCTGGAACTTTAGAAGGAGTTTTCAGTTTCCTTTGGCATAAAAAGTTAGAAATCGCTAATGAGCCTCCCAGAGTTGCAGGGTGAACAGTTGAGTCTCTTTGTTAGGTTCAGGAGTATGAGGCTAGCACCGCGCATCAGCACTTGTTCCTCTCTTCCTGAGCGAGAGCACTGTCAGCTCCACCCCGGAGGGCACTGCCGAGGGTCACTGTCACCTGTGCTCAAGGCTATCTCAGGTGTGTCACCTGCGCTGGGGGGTCAGCTAAGGCCATCACCTGTGTGTTGGGGTCCTCCATCACCTGTGCTGAGGCCCATCGCCTGCCTGTACTCGGGTCAGCTCAAGTTTGGGCTCCTTGCAGAGGCTGGAAAGCCCCCACAGGAGCAGTTGCCCTGAAGTCGTTACAGCTGCTCCCTGCTGACATCATGTGGTTTCGAAGGGCCCAGAAATGGGCACCACCTCAGGCAGGTTTTGACTTTCTGTGGATAAAGAGCGAGCACCAGTTTTCTCAGATAAAGCAGAGAGAGTGCTCTCGGAAACCTGCCGGTCACTGTGAGAGCAAGGCCACTTGCACCTGAAGCAAGGCGGCCGAGAACACTGAGCCACCAGCAGCCTGGCAGGATTGCAGGGCAGCGCATCAGACCCAAGTGTTTATAAGGCTCACGTACTTTATCACCTCTGCCATACCGTTTATGGTTTACAATGGCTGCAAGGAAATTGGATCAGTTTTGTTTTACTTGCCAAATAAAACAAATGTCAAAATAGTCAATATAAAATGTATTCTAATTTGGCTGAGTTAAGTCAGCCAGTATGCAGCAGGATAATTGAATGTACATTAATGCTTCCAAGTAAAAACCACTTGTCTGTCCCAAGTTGTCCTGTGCAGTAATTTACAGGTAGGATGCACACCTATGTGAGCCTCGACCATAAGGGTTTTTTGGTTTTTGTGGGATTTTTTTTTTGGTATTGTTTTCCTATCCAGTATCTTTGATTTTTTTTTTTAATGAAATGTTGATTATTCATTCAAATTTTTCCATTGAAGACCAGCAAGGATGAGTATGCTGTTTTATTCCTTGAGGCTACAGGTCTCTGCACTCTCCAGAGAAGGAACCTGATCGCTTCCCCTCTGGTGAGCAGCAGTGGCTGGGGCTTGTGCTCCAGGTGCTGGGCGTCTGCCAGGAGCCTATAAGGTAGGGCAGGCCCCTCACTGGGGCCTGCAGGGCCTCACACCAGCTCGGGGATTTCTTGTCTTCCCTCTCCCAGCTCCAGCCCCAGACATTAAGCTGCGCTGAGAGCCTCCTCCTCCCTTCCTGCCCCTGGCTTCTGCACCTTTGCTTCCGGTGCTCCCTGCACATGAGGTGTGTTTGGTTGGCAGGCCTCAGCGCAGAGGACTCCTCTCCCAGGAAGCCCTCCCTGAGGCTCCTGGACTGGGCCTGTGCTGGGTCTTCTTCTGCGAGCGCTTCCGGGACATCTCGAGTCCCTGGGGTGGTGTGGGCACGTGGTGAACCTCCGAGGAGCTCCCCAGCGCCCACCTGAATCCAGGCAAGCATTCAGTTTCACAATCAATGTGTCCCTTGCAACCCCTCCGGACGACTCCCTGTTCCCTGAGCACTGCGTGGGTTTTTTCCGATGGTGAGAGTAATCCAGGCTTGTAGAAAATTGGCAGAACGTAGAAAGCATGAAAAAACAGGAATTCCATTTCCCACGAGCAAATGCTTATAACCTTTTGTTATATTCCCTCGTCTTTTTCTTGTGTAGTTTTTACATAGGTGATATCATATCGTGTAATAGCAAGTCTGCGTCTTGCTACTGTTCTCTCAAGTAGCCTCAACCATAAACCTGAGAACCACGTCCAGTGCGGTCTTTGTGTGGCGTGGATCGAGCCGCTGGGAGCGCGGTGACGCAGCGCCCTCTACTGCCCAGCCGTGGCGGTGGCGGGGAATGCGGTTCTGAGCCGGAGCTGGTGGCAGGCCCTTTCCCTGCAGAGCGCTGGCCCAGGCTGGCCGGGAGGACCTAGGAAGGGGTGGGTCACAGATCTTGCTGCTTTCTTGAGTCTGTGTTCTTCTCCAAAGCCAAAACCATGTGCTCCGCCTCCATTTCTTGTGTCATCACTCAGATTTCAAAGAATTCCCTGCCATTTTTTGGAATGCCATTCATTCCAGGCTTTATTTCAGACAAAAGGTGGATCTTTGCATGGTCTGTAGGCCATCACCTGAGGACCTCGTGGTTCTAGCAGCACTGCCTTCTCTGTCCATAAGCAGGAACTGCCTCTAGAAGCAGGAGCTTCCCACAGAAGCTCTGTTATTGCAGAAAATGCTGTGGTGTCACCAGCTTTGGAGTTGTCCTTTCGAAGCGGGCAGGTCCCCAGGGAGAGGGATGCTCCTGGGCTGTACCAGTGAGTTGGTGGCTAAGGCAGTAGAAGGTAGCTTGGCAGAGCTCTTCTCCCTCACAGTGACGCTTCATCTCACACACAGACATCGCCACACACATCTCTTGACTGTTTCCTAGTGAAGAAGGGCAGCCGCTTCTTCTGGGACCCGGAGCCTCTTCATTTCCCTGGCCGCAGGCACTCCATCCCCTGCTTGCCCATGTCACGCATGTCGATCAACAGGAGAGGGCTGGCCTCGGGACGGAGGCACGGTGCCATCTCTGTGGCCCTCTTTGGGGCTGGGCCTAGCTTTGTGAGTCAGCCTCGGGCGTGCGATCGGATGGTGGGGTTTCTGATTTCGGCTCTGTGCAGCTGTCTGGGGCAGGGGAGCCAAGAGAGGAAACACCTTCCCGGCCTCTATCAGAGCAGCCCCTCCACCGTCTCGCACATGCGGGGCATCACCTGTTTCTGCTGGGAAGAAAAGGTTCCGCTGCTGCTGCCGGGACAGAGGTTGGGTAAAGCCCCAGGAGGCAGGTGGGCTCACAACCGCTGGAGCAGCAGAAGCCCCCAGTGTGATAAGTGAATGGCTCTGGGTCGACCCAGGAGGAGGCCCCTGGTGAGCTGCTGCCCTGTAGCTCAGCAAGCCGCAGAACCATGGCTTGATAAAGACATCAGAGGCATGCTTATCAAATTTGCAGATGATACAGAGTCATTAGGGTGAGCTGACGTGCTGAATGACAGAATCAATACTCTGCATCTCCTCTACAGCCAGAACAACCTGCCGGAACCATGGGAGGCGATGGGCGCAGGCTGAGAGGGCCTCCAAGGTTCAAAAAATTCCATCACACAGGAACCAAACTGAGGCCTTGCTTAGCAGCCGTGTGTGCAATGGCGGGGGTCAGAGCATGGGTGTGTGGAGTGCAGCCTGGTGTGCACAGCGGGAGGCCCTGAGTGGAGTCCTGCTCCTGGGGCGTGTCCACTGCCCCACACCACCAGGCAGAGGTTACCCGAATCCAGTGTCGAGTTTGAGGAATCCAGTTTGGACCTGAGTGGAGACAGGCCAACCTGCTGCAGACGTCTTAAGGGTCAATAGCAGCAGAGAAAGTAGAAGTGTTTCCAGGTGTGGATGGGGGGTGGAGAGATGGCTGGAGGCTCCAGAAGACAGAATTAGGTCAGGTGGACTGAAGTTACAAGGAGGTAGATTTAGGCTTAACACTTCAAAAAAAAATCAATAAAGACACCTTCCCCAAGGTGAAAATTCTGTGGCATCAAGAAGCTGACCTGAGGTGTGATGCGCTCCCAGATGCTGGGGGTGGTCAGATGACATTTGGATCCTTCAGACTGCAGGAGAATTAGAGCAATCAGTGTTTCTTAAGCCTTATTTAAGAAACGTGTCATATTCCCTCTCCCCACCTATAGAAATTCAGGTTCAGCAGACCTCCATGTTAGGGCCACAGACACCTTGAATTTCAGGACCCTCCAGTGAGCAGGGAGGGCACAGAGCAGCGGGCCTTGGTTTCAGAGGTCCCCAAGCCACCATCGATGCTGCTTCTGTAT